CCCCAGACCCCCCAAACCCTCCTCAGGACCCCCCCAGACCCCCCAGACCCTCCTCAGGACCCCCCCGGACCTTGCCCAGCGCCTCCTTCTCGCGGGTCACGAAGGACAGCGTGGTTTTGACCGTGGCCTCCAGCCTGCGCCGCGCCGCCTCCTCCGGGGACAGCTCCCACTCGAACCTGGGCACAGCGGGCTCTGCTGGGCCGGAGCGGGCGGCACCGGCCGGCACCGGGGGACCCCCGCACCCCCCTCACCTCTCGTTGAAGTCGGGGTTCAGGCTCCTCCTCTGCACGCCCGTTTTCCTCTTGGTGCCGCGGCTGCGGTCGGGGAGCAGCACCAGGGACACGTAGGGGTCCGGCAGCTCCTTGCCCGCCGCCCGCAGCTCCCTGGGGAGGGGTCGGGGGGCTCAGCTCGGGGGTCCCAACCCCGGGGGTCGCGGTCCGGAGCGCCCCCCCCGCCCGTCCTCACCTGCAGGAGTGCACGATGGCCACGAGCTTGCGCTGCTCCTGGTGGTACCAGAGCGAGAGCTGCAGCCGGGGACCCTCCGGGGGCTCGGGGCGGCTGCGGGGGCGCAAGGTCAGCACCCCGAAACGGGGTTTGGGGGAGGCTGCAGAATTTGGGGATTTTGGGGTTGGGATGTCCGGGGAGGGGGGGATTTGTCTCCACCTGTCCGCCGGGGGCAGGCGCTGGCGCAGCCCCCCCACCCCGCGCTCCTCATCTTCACCCTCCTCCTCCTCCTCCTCCTCCTGTCGCGGCTCCGTGTCCCCCCCCTCGGGGGCTCTGCTGGCAGCGCTCGCCTCCACCCGCTGCGACACCAGCACCTGCCGGGGGAGGGGGCGCTCAGCGGGGGTCTCCCCTCGCCCCCCACCATCCCCTCCCCGGGACCTCCACTCACCCCGAGCTGCGCCCGCAGCAGGAGCTGAGCGCCGGGGCCGCCCCCGGCCAGCGGGACCCAGCCGTCCATGGCCAGCCCCTCCCGGGCCAGCAGCTCCGCCAGGGGCAAGCTGAGACTGCCCAGAGCTTGCCCACCCTCGTCCTTCACCTGCGGGCACAGCGCAGCTCTGAGACCCCCGGAACCCCCCCGAGACCCCCGGGACCCCCGGCCCGGGCACGGACGGGGCAGCACCTGCAGCTCCAGAGACTCCCGGAGCCCCCCCGGAACCCCCCCGGGACCCCCGGGACCCCCCGCCCGGGCACGGACGGGGCAGCACCTGCAGCTCCAGAGACTCTCGGAGCCCCCCCGCGACCCCCGGGACCCCCGGGACCCCCGGCCCGGGCACGGACGGGGCAGCACCTGCAGCTCCAGAGACTCCCGGAGCCACCCCGGGACCCCCGGGACCCCCGGGACCCCCGGGACCCCCGGCCCGGGCACGGACGGGGCAGCACCTGCAGCTCCAGAGACTCCACGTGCGGCCGCTTGATGAGGAAGGAGAAGCCTTCATCCCACACGGGCTCGGTGGAGGGGGCGCAGGTCTGGGGGGTGTGAGGGGGGACGGCAGGGGGTGAGAGACCCTCCGAAACCCCCCCAAAAAACATCCTCCCCGAGCCCCCTCCCCTCCGCGCCTCACCTTGGTCTTGAAGGAGACGTCGCGCACGGCGAGGCTGGCGAAGGCAGCGGGGGGCTTGGAGCCCTTCCGGAGCTGGGGGGACAGCGCGAGGGTCACCTGGGGGATTTGGGGGGGACACCTGGGGACATTCGGGGGGTCTCCTCTCACCGGCAGGTCGGCGGCTCGGTCCAGGAAGACGGAGAGCAGCGCGGCCGAGAGCTCCGGGCCGTGCGCGGGCTGCAGGAGGCTGTTGGTGTGCACGACCTGGGGGCAGCCGGGTGGGGCGGGGGTCGCAGCGGGGCGGGGAGACCCCCGGGAGGGCGGGGAGGGGATGGGGGTGCTGAGGTGGGGATTGGGACTG